ACTCAGCCGTAAAAGAATGCAATTCTGCCATTGCAGCAGTGTGGATGAGCTTGGAGAAAATTATGTTAAATGAAACAAACCAGGCACAGAAAGATACACACCACATGTCCTCACTCATAAGTGGGAGCTAGTAAATAAATAAATAAACAAATGACTGAAACAACAATTACAATAAAATGTTGAACATTCAGGAGAGAGTAGAACTGTGGTTACTAGAGGTGGGAAAGTGTGAGGGAGAGGGTGATTAGCGAGAAATTGGTTAATGGACACAAGGAATAATTAATTTTGTAATGATGAACATGCTAATTATCCTGATCTAATCATCACACATTGGCCACAGGTATTGATATTCAACATTATACCCCACAAATATGTATAATCAATTATGCTTTAATAAAAAAGTGGAATTAATCTCTGTGTTGATCAAATAACTCTCAAAACCCATTTAACTAGATAATAATGAATGAATGAGTTTGAATCTTCAGGTCTTCTCCATAACAGTTGACTATTGCTGTTAACCTCTGAGATGGAACCTGGAGCTCCAGTTGCTGCTCTCAGAGTTCCCAAAGCTTCACTTCTTGATAAATGTGGTAGTTATAAATACATATTGGAGTGTACATTTACAACATGCTACTGTTAGCAACCCATCATGAGGATATACACTTGGACTTTCTCTACCTGGAGTGGTAAATTCGTTCAGTTCTATTACTACCATCTTATTGGTCTTCCATGTGTTTAAATAACTTGCATTATTCAGAAGAGTATTTCAATTTCTAGTGTAATCTGTGAAGGTAACAAAGTCAAATAGCTAAACTGGGTATTGAACCTGTGATCAACTTTGTTCCTGTTCATAATGAGGTCATTTGAGAGCCACCCCAAGGCCTACCACCATAGTATTTCTCCCCAACAAACTAGGTATCTAGAATTCCTACCATAGATGACATTCTTTTAGATTACAGGACTGTCTTTAGAACAAAATACAGATATATGACAAATTAGAGCAGTAGAAAATTATTAGTACTTGTTAATATGAATTAACCTATTAAATTAGCTGGCAGAGCAAGCTTTAATCAGAGGAACTGAGATCAAGGACAAGTATATTCACTAGGAGTAATGAAAGGTTTGCAGTATGAAGCAGTGTTCTAGAAGGGTGATGGTTGGGAGTTTTGGGAACTCAGCAGCAGCTGGAGCCCCAGATGTAAGAAGCCCCAGATGCTGAGCAACACTGAAGAAGGTGGCAACTATGGCATAATTGTACACAGTACATGTAACATTGGTTACATATCAGCAGTGCTTTAATGAACCACAGATTTGTGCATACCCTGGTACATATATATGCGATAAGTAATACCCAGGCTTTTCAACTTGTATACATCAGAAAATGAGGTGGAATGAGAATTTGGCCTTGTGAGAGGTACTCAAACTCACAACATAATTTTGCTCTTGGCGCAGAAATAGATAACCTGTACGTACTTCTTTTTTTTTTTTTTTTTTTTTTTCTTTTTTTTTTTTTTTCTGACCGGTAACGGGATCGCAACGCTTGGTGTTGCCCCCCCAC